CCCCCTACAGGAACCAAGAAAGGCCAATAGTATCCAGAAAGCTCCTGGACTAGGAGCAGAAAAGCCTGCTCCTTCACCACACCTCTCTACCTCTTGCTTATAAGATGATATGAGTTACAGAAACACGAGCAATTGAAACTAGCAATAGCTGCAATAACAGCAATTATAAGGCCCATTTGTATTTTCTTCTATTTCAACAAACCTTGGTCTGTTCAGCAAAGGACATAACTACCCATGCAGAGCAGTCAGGGTAATATGTTGGCCAGCAGTATAGGAAGTATCAACATTAATTTGTACTCAGGACAAATGCTGCCCATGTGGATGACATGATCAGGGTAGACAGAGCTTGGGAGCTCTTATCTGGAAGAGAGAGCTCTCTACACACTGTGAGTATTCAAATTGCTGGGGAAGTATTTTTTTAATCCTAAGTCAGAAAGATATTTACTATGTTTTTGTGTATGAAATTCAGGTTTCATACCAGTTCTGCTTTCCCATCAGGGTGGAGCACTTCCATCTGACAAAAGAGTTTAAGTCCTTTGTTTCAATGTTTCCAGTACAACATGATTTTTGTATCCGAACAATGTCCAAACAGCTCGGAGGGTGCAGAGGGATGAACTGCCAGTAGAAAGTACAGGTTTGTTCTTGTAAAACACATAATGAATGAAAGATTTTGAAGTATTTTAATTGAGGAGTAAAAGCATGCAAGAAATACTGCCTAACATATTTCTGCCTGTTTAGGCAGATAGGTAGATATAAATCAGTAAAAATTGATTTCTGAATGTAGGCATATCCTTGTAAATAAACATCATACAAGTTAAAAAAAAAAAAAAAACTTGCACTGACTTGGGGATAATTTGGAACATCACAAGCAAAAGACACAGTCTGAGACTTTTTCTGCAAACCCAACAGAATTCAGGGTCTGGGCAAGGCAGCAGTTCTCAAACCTTCCCAGACAGTCAACTCAACCACAAGAAATAAGACACAATGACTTAAGTGATATGAGTGTGGAATGTGCTTATAGGTGTGGGCTACTATGCTAGAGCTTCATGGAACATGAATTACAAATTGAGGAATTTCAGAATTAAAGGAGTTCATGTTTGACACAGAAAACCCTTGCTGTAATACATAGAATTGGAAATGATGTACTTCATTTCCTTTATTTTATGACATTTTTTAAATAGGCCAAATTATACTTTAAATATTGCCAGGATCAGAAAAAAACATAAGGGACTCTACTGCAATCACTACCTAAAAGATTAATCCATAATAAATATTGTACATATTTCTGTAACAATAATCAGACTGAAAAAAAAAAGTTGAACTCTAATGTTCATAACCGTGCTGAATGTAGTCTATTTTAGCCTGATAATTTCCCATTAATATTAAATTTATAAAATTGTGTTGACTCTCTACCACCTGCCAGTTTCCTCTCCTACTCTCTTCCTGCTCCATTTATTCCTCCCTCAAAGAACCAAACTGTCAAATTTCAGAACTCATAGGCCTCTTTAAGCCAAATCGAACAACAGCAGCCAGTGAAACACTAATGAAGGAAGCGCTGCCAGAACCCAAGAGTTACATCACAGACTCATGGTCCATCAGCTGCACAACCAAAATCATGAACATGCTACCTCTGACCTCCTCAAACATGAAGGGTGCAGAAGGGCCTTGGAAACAATGTGAGGTGGATGTGGTGGGTCAAGAGAACACAAGGAGAACTGGAAATCCTGCTGGAGACGCAGGAAAGATCCATGTGTTTTGAGGTGGAGGAAGATCATGCGGAACTTGTGGAACCTGGGGCCTCTGTGTTGGGGCACACCGTGATAAAGGACACAAACTAACAAGAAGAAAAAAGAACTACAAGCATTAGTTACTGCTCACAGAGTAACTTGTTTTATTTCACTGATGCTTGAATACTCCCCTTACACTAGCAGGGCAGATGTTACTGTCCCATATTAGCTGTGCACCAAGACACATTAACATCTTTCCCCCTCTCCTGACTTACTTTTTTCAAAATAAGAATTTTCATTTTATTTTGGATAGAGGGTAACTTCCGTAATAAGTAGCAATAATATTCTGGAGAAAGAAATTAATTCCCAAGTTTTCAACACAGAGATTTGTCTTGAATAAAAAATGTATTTTTGTATTGTTGCTTTCCACATTATGAATCATCTCCATTAAAGTGATGGATTTTGAAACCAGAATGGGTCATGTCTATAACTAAATGTGACCTTTGGAATAAAACTGTTTTCTAACATTAACAGAACTTTGCAAAGCTGAAACTGAAGAGGCAGCAGGTAACTATAGCACAGGGAAAGATAGCTAATAGAAACTGAGAAGACAAAAAAAAATAAAGGACTTTTACTTCTATATTTAAATTTGCAACCAAGTATTAGGGTAAATAAGAGAACAGGGCCTTCAACAAAGAAACAGAAAAGGCCTTACTTCTGTGAGTTACATCAAAAGCATCCATGGCAGTTTTCTTTCCCAGTGAGTTTTCATCAGTCAGCATGATATTATAGACCCTCTTCTGGTTTATATCCCAAGAACATGAGCACTGCTTAGAACAATTTACTGTGCATGGAATCAATTTTTGGGCAAATCTATCAAAGAAGAAGGGGGGAAAGAAAGACAATTTTCCTTAATGTAGAATCAAGACAGATTGAAATTGCTTATGTCAAAGTAGAATATAGCTACATGGAAAATAAAGCTGAAACTATCAGAGGCCACCCAATTCTTTCCCCTGCTCCAAAGTAGGATGAATATAGGTATTCTTGCAATTAAAAGAAAGCCTTCTTTCTTTGTACTTCTTTTCCTTTTGGGGTACAGCTAAATGTATTAAGAATTTCATCATGGGCTTACAGCTTTCTAAATTAGGGACTTGATATGTCAAGAATTAAACCATTCTCATGGCTACAGTTAAGCTTTTAAATAAAACAGTAATTTCAGTGCATCTTTTTAATTTTTTTCATCCACATCATACTATTTTAATGGAAATGAATGATGCAGAGAGTATGAAGTTACTATGCAATGATGACCTGTCTTATGTTGAGACCTTCTAACAAAAGTCTATCATGACACCTTTTCTCTTGCAGTCCCTGATGCAAGGTCCCACTTCTCTCCTAGGGATTTAGCTGCCTGTGTAGCAAGGAGCCAAGGCTCAGCTCTGATATGCTACAGCTGCATAACCTTGACCCAAACTGCTGAGAAAGAGGTGTGAGAAAGTCTTCGGAGACATAAGTTAAAATCACACACAGAAACAGGATTGTTGAGATGAGATTGTCAGTAGCTCAATAGGTCAAGAAGGAAAACACCAGCATAAAGAGTTATAAAATCATAAAGGTGAAGAACCAGGGAAGCTGGGGCTATTGGGGCTATTTGGGAATCATCAGTTTGAGTCAATAGTGCCATCATCTGTCATACTTTTATGTTATGTATATCCTATTTGCAGTGTGTCTTCATGCCTAGCTAAAGATATCCAAGCAAACTGACCAAAAAGGAATGCTCTTACACCTTGTATAAAGCAGAAGTTGGTCTGATGGACCTGCAATTTGTTATAGCTAGTCTAACTAAGGGCACAGATTTTAACGAACAGAAAGAAATTGACCATTGTTCAGTACAGCACAGGCTGGAGTGAAATGTAACTACAATGAGACTTACTCTTCAAAAAAAGTGTATTTTGTTGAATGCTGTCCGTAGAGATAGGTGTGTCATCCTTGGCTCCAAGTACATATTATCTTTTTCATGTCTCGAGCGTGGCAGGAAAAATCATGAGGTAGATCAGGTGGTTCTTGTTAGGGGAAAAAACAAAAAGCCAACAGCATGAAAATTAAGACAAAAGTCATCAACATTCTCACTATATTTACAAACTACAA